ATTTAATACACTTCGTGCCTTTGACATGTAAATTTCAATGTAATTTGATTTCAAAAAAAACTTGCGACGAAACCTTATAAGAAATACAATAGTAGTTTTAAAACTTTTTTAAAATTCAATAGAATTTAATGGATAATTGTACCTCATACAAACAATTAAGATCTACATACTAGCATTCATTTGAGTGGATATAAAGCATATATGTAGGTGTCTTTCCAGTGAAGCAAAATGCAGCCCATACTATCAAGATACCGCCTCCAAAGCCTCGCTTGTAGCAGGACCGTGGTACCTGAGGCAAATCTCTCCAATTATTTTTGCAATGATCTGAGCTGTCCAAATGGAATTTTTTTTCGTCACTAAAGGCTATATTCTGCCACTCTTCGGCCCAGAATTGATATATATGTGCAAATTGCAAACGTGCTATAATGTGCCTTTCCAAGAGCTTTGGTTTAGTTACCATGGACATGTGTTTGATAAACTTATTTTCATGTATAATTTGAACAGTTCTATTTCTCGTTATTTGCCGTCTTAACTTGGTCCATATTTGACCGCTTCTCATCGAAGCCGCTACTGCTAGTCGTCGAAACATCCGTTTGCACCGATCATCAATGTTGGTTTTCCGCTGCGCTACGTTGCACTATCCCATAGTTAGCGGGTTTTTAAGAAATTTTGACATACAAGTACAGTTTCGATATCGCTTTAGTCTAGATGCAATCTCGGAAAAGCTTTAATGCATTCCTATGGTTATTCCTTGTTCCTTGGTACCACGAGGCATTTTAGGCTTAAAGTTAAATAAATGTAATCAAATTTCAAATAATTAGTAAGTTAATACACCTACAATAGTTATGCAAACAAATTTTCGCGTAAAAACATTTTGCCGCGACACTATAAACAAACAAGATCAGCTAGACTGATTTTTCACATATCAGTATTTACAACGCAATATCCAATGCACAAGCATATTCATAACGCAGAAAACATAGACGACGACAAGCGACATTTGCCATATATTAAAATACACACGTTCTTATGGGCACGACTTCACGACAGCAGGCTTGTAGTTATCGCTGTCGCTAAATTAAATTTTCATTTTCAATTTTGCCGGCGACAACGAGCAGCTGTAGTGTTGTCACTAATATGTAAAATGTAAACCTATTCAAACGTCTAACAAGTCTAACGATATTTTACCAACAGAAGCATAAAATAGCTGTGTAATATCATTTGTGATAACAGTTGATCATTTAAAACAAATAAATCCACTTATTTATAAATTTTTTGCACAAAAAAATTCACTTCGAACAAAATATTTAAAGTTCATTGAAGTGAAAGGTTTTAGGATGGCAACAACGAAATTGTGTACATCTGCTGTTTGATATGTCGCTGCCGTCTTCAAAATATTCCTGAAGATTATAAAAAAAAAAGTCGTCTTTGTGTTCAAAACATTATGTAACAGTCGGCAACATGTTAACCGTTTATTCAACATTCACTGAAATTCTAAAAATAAGAGTGCACAAGAAATATAAACAAAAGCAAAAAGGCATGTATAATTATTCGTATGCGATATATTTTTGAAATATTTATGTGTATATGTAGTAAAATACTTTTATAAATTGACCTAGCTTTGCAACTTTAAAATGATCCACATACTAAGGCTAGATTAGAATAAAGACATCACCGAGTACACAAAACAGTTTCGTGTCCAAAGATTTTGTAAGAATATTTCAGTTCCTGTAAGACTTGAGTACTTTGTAACTCTCAGTATCGATAATGTTAAATATCAGCCATTTCAACACTAACAATATCGTAATTATCTAAGTATCTATGTACATTTGCAGGTGTGAAATTTAGATATTTGATGGGAATCCAATATAAATATACGCACATATATGTATATGGTATATAGTATGTCAAAGTCAAGTGTTCTTTATGCATTCCAAATAGTTAGAGGTGTGACTTTAAAACAATAAAATTAATGTTTTTGAGTAAAATAAAAATGTGCAATGTTTTCTTATGTTCTTTTATGAGAGTTTCTGTTACAGAACTCAGAGGTTTACATATAACTGGCAAGCTATTCAGAATAGAAAACACGCAGAAACCTTTTTTAAGTTCACTATAAATTTCATTATGTATACTTGTATAAACAAAAAATATTAAAAGTGGATTTTTAGTAGCAATAAAGAAATGTAAAATGGATTTGTTATTGTATAAAAATTGACAAACTGTCATAGTAATTGTTAACCAAAAGTTCCCCGTCTTTTGTTCATCACGTCGCGAACTAATGTATTTTTCTATCAAACAAACTCCGAAAAAAGTAACAACATTAAACTGTCGTAATATTCATTACAATTATGTTGAATCGCAAGAACACCATAATTTCAAATAAAAGCGCTGTTGATTCCTTTTCACTTACAATATAAATTATACGAAAAAAATTTATTTATTTATTCAACCTATTGTCACTATACACTATATTACAATAACTTGTAAATCTTTACCAGCATAATTCGTATTTTACAATACAAGTAAATTAAATTAATGTAATTGTTGGACTTTTATTTGAAATTTCCATTAATTTTGAAATTATATAAATCCCATTAACTGTTATTACACTATAACAATAATTCGAATACAAACTTGTTCAGTGTTTATTATTAGATTCTAACTGTGTCAAACTCTTTTTAATGCAAAAAGCTGCAAAAATCCTCATTCATTCATTGTTAGGTGTATTAAATTAATGAGGTGTATCCGTTATTAACAGTTCATACAACAATGAGAGGTTATATTTACCTATTGTTAAAGTAATGATGAACTGGAGTTTTGGCTGACTTGTGTACATAGAACTCAACCAACTCACTCTTCTGTTTTTTTATTAACCGCAATGATAGTTATTCAAGTTTTAACCCTTATAGTATTTCCCAATACGTAATTGTTCCAAATATTCTTACAGATTATATAGAAATATTAGATTAGTTTAGGTTAAGCATACAGTTCTTGAGGTCTATATCCTGAAACAGCCAAGTTGAATAAAACAACGGACAATTTTAGATCGCGACAGTTGAAAAAATAAAACCAGATATATTTTGGTCAAGTTCTACCAAGATCTAAATATATGATATACCATTAATTAAATCATATCTGCATAATTGCCAGATCCGATACTAGTTTTTAAGTTAGATAATCAAGGATTTTGCAAGTATTTTTTCCATACCTATGAAATGTTTGAGCATTATTTGATCGTTAAAGTAATTTAGCAGAAGCTTATTGTCTGCCAAATCTCATTACTATTGACTGATATCCATACATATCTATCTATAAGACAACGAATATATATCAAGGTTACTACAAGTGCAATAACATGCGAGACTACCAACAATAATTTAACTAATTAATTAATAACTGCAGATGCCTCTCCCTAATGTGATCCTGTGTACCAAATAACAGTCTTGTATCTTATTACGGAGCTTAGTTATGGCAATTTATTTGTTTTTGATTAATAGCGGTTTGTGGGCGTGACAGTGGTCCGATTACGCCCATCTGCAATACCAACCGTCTTACGGTACCAAGAAACAGGTCTACCAAGTTTCAAAAAGATATCTCAATTTTTACTCAAGTTAGACTTGCACGGACGGATGGACGGACAGAAACCCGGATTTCAACTCTTCTCTTCATCCTGACCCTATATCTAACTCGATTAGTTTTAGGTGATATAAACAACCGTTAGGTGAGCAAAACTATTATACTCTGTAGCAACAGGGTGCGAAAGTATAAAAAAACCACAATATCAAAGAGTCTCCAATAATCTACTCTACGCAAATAATCGGCAATTTCAAACCAACAGAGAGATATATTATATGTACATATGTATATGTATGTACATCAACTGGTATATACATACAAGAGAGTATTTTCAAGTTTAAGAACTAAGTCAATCACTTTTTCATAAGATGATAATAATATATCGAGGGCTTTTAATTATTAAATTAATTAAATAATAATCGGTTAGAGCCAAGGCAAACAACAGCGTTGATTATGGGAAATATCATGGTACATTTTTAATCTCGAGTGTTTTTATTTGGCGGAACAGTGTCTATAGTCAACGAAAGTCAAAATTTTCATGAAAAATTCAATATTTTATGGGTATTGGACCATACCATTTTTTTCGAGAGATTGAGTCATAAGTGAAAAGTAATTTCTCCCATTTTTGAAGTCAGCCGGCAAAATCGAATAATATGAGCTTCCAATTAATTATAGCATATAAGTTGATAAAAAAGTAAAAACAAGTGCATCATCCCCCATATTTCAATGTAAAACATTTTTCGTCAAGCTGATATGACAGTTGCTATAAGCGGAATAGTCGGGCCACTTTTTTGAACATAAAAACACCTTATAATATCTATTCATAATAATTCATAAGCATTAAAAAAATAATTTCAACAACCATTCTACTCTTCGAGTTTACAAACTTTCACAAACACATGCGTATCTGAAGGGACCATAAGGCAAATTAAATGTGATATTTAATTAGTTGGATATAATAAATAATCTCAAAAATAAGTCGACCCTCCGAGTTCAACAACTTTCAAACGCACCCTCGTATCTGAAATGGCGCCTAAGCAAATAAATAAATCTTGGTATTTACTCAGTTGGACCTAATAAATAAGTTCAAAAATAAGTTTACGCTCCCAAATCGTAAACGTTCAAACGCATCCTCGTATCTGCAATGTCGCTCAAGGCGATGAAGTTATTACATTCAGATGCATGTTTTACATAATAAATTGTAGGCATTCAAAGAGCAAAAAAGTGCAACAGCAACAGAAGCAATAACAAATGATAGCATTTCATTAGCGACGGATACAAACAAAACTGGCGAATACAAAAACTGCATCTGCAAACAAGCCGTTGTTAGTAGTGATATTGCTAGTATGCGCAAGCAGCCAGCTTGATGGTATTGCCTTTGGAAGCTATACAAGTGAGTGAGCTCGTTGGCACGAGAGCCGGCACAACGCTGACGTCTGCTTAGTCGCAGGTGAGTAACGGAGTTGGGCTGTGGACAAAACGCGCATGCGCATCGAAATCGAGAGTGAAAAGTGAAATTACTAAACGTAAAATTAGCAGAAAATTGTGAGCGGAAGTGAAAAGCGTAGAAAACCGTTTATGCAACGAAAAAAGTGCAGTGACTTACAATAAAAGGGTTGAAAAGTTTAGCGCAAGCAAAAAAGTTCCTATATAATCGAACGCTGATCATTGTATTCGGTAACCTAGTGTTACATAAAGTGCATCAACACACACACACACACGTGCATTTTATGCTCTCTGCAAGCATACTATGTATGCCACCAAACTAACCGGCTGACCGAGTGCCCAGTCGAGCACAATTCACCACAAAACTGGCTAATAGACAAAGCATTCAATCCGCGAAACGACTCGTTCGCCAGCGTCGTTTACCAAGCCATTCAACTCGGCGCGCTCTTCAATCGTTACAGTCAATATGAAATGCCGTTGCATTACCGACTTTGTTGTTGTGGCCGTTGTCATTGCGGCGGCTAGTGGTCTCATTGTGTTCGCCATTGCCACGCAGAATTCCAACCGGCGAATGGAGCGAAAGTTGGCGGCGCATGAAACCAATTTGACGCAAATCACAGAACTGTTAATGCTAATTGGTACAACAACAACAACAACAACCACAACAATGAGATCAAAGCCAACAGAAAGCGACATAACAGTGTCAACGACCGAGCAACCAGGAAGTAGCGATGTAAGAGATACAACAACAACAGTGCAGCCAGCGTTGGCAGAGTTTGGCGTCGCGCCGGCGTATGAGCAACCTAGAATTAGTACAGCGGGTGCATTGAACGCCACAGCAACAATAGTAACGAGAGCAGCTGTGCGCACCAGAAAAATACCGGCATATATAACAACAACAATAAATGCTGCCGTCGATCGCGCACAATCGTCACGACGAATTACAAGGCTCAAAGCCAAACTGTTGCCAGCCATTGTGGCAGCACGCGCGGAAACCAACACTTTGGAGGTAAATACGCGTGTACATATGACCCTGCAGGGATATATGCATTAATTGTGGACTGATGGTTCTACTTTAGAGCACTTAAATTTGTTACTTGTTCGTATTGAGAGTTTTTTCCATGAAAGCCACGCTTGATTTAACAATGTGATATACCATATATTCAAATGTAACTCGAACTGACAAAACAAAAACTACATTTTCACGTATTTTAATACAAATCTTTAGTATCGGCTTCAAAATAGGCTACTTTTGAGCCAATACAAGCATGCCAACCCTTCGTCTAATTTTCTAAACACTTGTTATAAGCTGGGCCTTCAGTGTCTTCAGCGTATCTTGTTTTTTTCGATATCGTTTCATTTTTGGAACGCCATTCGCTAGATTGTTGCACAATTTCAACGTCTTATATATAATCTCATGTCTTGCCACAAGTAATGATACCACATTTGATGAATGTAGGGTCCTCAGCTAAGTTGTCAAGCATCATTGCCACTTCTACTTGACGTCCTTTTTGCAAAAGATTTAGGTATTTTGGTACGAGTCTAGTATTCGCTTCATACACAAAAGATTAATCAATAACTGTTATATTTCGGATGCCTAAACGACGATTTACAAGCACTGTTTCCTTGTCCTATTCATGTTATCGTCGATGACTTCATGACCTTCACTCATTGCTTTGTGCCGCTCAAATACTTGGGTTCGTGATAAAGTAAACTCCACAAAACACTTCTGCAACATTTTCAACAATTTCTGGGCCGTGATTCCATTGGAAATACAAAATGATGTGACCTGGTATAAAGTTCTAGCTTTTCAAAAGCGATCTAGTACGAATTCGTCCAATAAAAAAGTATCAGCATTAATATTTCAAATTTCCTGCAGAGCTTGTGCAGCAGCTGTGCATTTTTATGTCTAAAGATACATATGTGTGTCTTCTTTGCCACGCACGCATTGCAGCAAATCAAATGTACAACAACAGCAAATAACTGGCATTCATTTATTATTATTATTAGTTATTGTTATAGATGTACATTAGCTTTTGCGGTAATAAAGTTGATTTGTGCTTTTGGTCGCGCTGCGCTTCATTATGTTTCAGCTTGTCTTTGAGCTACGCTTGGATTTTGATTTAGACACTTTTTTCACACAATGCGGAAATGTCAATGCGTGTCAAATGTCTTTTAGATTTTGTTTATTTTTAGTGTTAGAGAATTATACAGTAACTTATGCATATCCAAGCAAATGACTGAAGTTTTAGGTTAGGTTTGCATTATACTAATAACAGTTATTTTGCAGCATAAAATTATGCATTATGCAATTTTCAACCTTACATATTAAGTAGTTTCTACAGCTAATAGTTATTAAATGCACATTTTAATTGTCAAATTAATTGTAGCCATTATTTTTTATGCTGAAGAAACTCAGGAGAATTTGTAATTTTCCAAAATTGTTTTAAAAAAAATTTTTCAGCGCTTCAAAAAAGAAATGTGCATTTTAAAATTGGCGAGCTATGTACAATGTATTTCTAAAATTTTCTTTTTGTTATTTTGAAACGCACCTCACGATTATCTGTTCACTTTTCAAAAAGGAGCATACCATTTGACAACTTGTGAAAACATTGGAAAATTAACAAAATTCACATTAGTAATCAATGAACTCTTACCAGCATACCATGCCATGATTTTCAGTTTCCATAACTATAAATATTATGACTAGTTTAATACTAAATTTTACTACATGTAGTAAAAGAACTTTGTGAACCCGTAGTTAGGAGCCTAAGGTAAGAAATTTACATAGACCGGGTAGAATACAATTCGTCTTCTCTTCGTTCTCTTTTAGAAATTGTCAAATTTATATGACAAGGTATCTTCACGAAATTCTGCACAGGTAGTTGTCCGAAAAATCGCTACAATCTTCGAACAAATTGCGTGGATCGGACTACAGCATGTAGCTGCCATTAAAACTGACCGATCAGTAACAAGTTCTTATATGTAAGATGTAAATCTCTCAATGAGGAAAATGGAACGCCACCCTGAAGAAATGCAAACGCGATTCCAGGGTGGGCGACGGTTCCCTAGAGGGGGTTTTTAGTGACCTGCAAGTGGCACATACCGTTGCTGTGACAACAGCACTAATGATGCGGAAGGCATTTTCAGCCCTCTCACCCGCAAAAAATAAAAATCAAATTAAATTAAAAAAATGTGTAGTTGTGTCGTTATCGCTGTATTTTGCGAAGTTTTCACTCTTTATATAAAAAAAAATTAGTTTAATTATCTGTATTATATGAAATGTGTCACTTTCGATGAAATAATTATGATTATTACACTGTTATTCGATGTCTTGATTTCTCTGTTAAACCGGAAAATCAATCATATTTGAGTAAGGCGCTCTTTTAGCAAGGTATTCTTTTTTATTATCTTATTAACTTTAAAATTTTAATAATTTATAAAGGAACTGTTTTTTGGGTGGAAATAGTCAGCCGAACTCTCTAGTTATTAGCACTAACAATTGAAAAAAAATTGTTGACACTGTTGTATTAAACACCTTAATATAGGTAAAACTGCTCTTGAAATTTGAGTAATAATTAAATGTATGCTATTTTTTAAGCAGAGATGAGTAGGGAGGTTATTATTTAATTTATATTTAACCACCAACCATATTCCTAATGCATATGAAAAAGCCTAGGGAGAGCAGCTTCATTAAATCTTTGAGCTCTCAGTGAATCAAAAAATAAATAAAACTATTCACATTTTGCTCTCATGTGCAAATATACAATATATAAAGGCTTTAGCTGCTCCTGCATCACTACATAAAATGTGTGTATACAAGTAGTATGAGAATTTTAAAGTGTTCATCAGTTCAACAAAAGAATCACAATACCTTCCTACTCAGTGCGCAATATTATTCGAAATCTAAGACTACGGAAACTTTTTCTATAAAGTTACGTTTCGTGATGCCGAAAATGGATTCAAAATCAACAGCACAACACTTCGGTAAATTTTACACGGTATTAGAAGGCTAATTGAAAGAGTAATATAAAGGTTTTTTAACAACTGCCTTGGCTAAATCTACTTTCAGTGGGACACCAATAATATATTATTTGAAAAATATATATAAGTAAATTCAAAAAATAAACAAAGCATGTATCTGTTGAGACAAAATTAATGTGTGCTCACTTCTATGTCAAAGTTTTATGGAAAAAATTGAAAATGTATGCTAAATGCAAATTTCTATAACTAAAGTTCAAAGACATTACTTATTTAGTTCAGTTAAATTAAACTCGTTAACGAAATATTGTGGACAAGCACAGACGCCTTTTCAAAATATGCGGAAAGACTCTTCAGCGATTTTGAGTAAAAATTGTGGTTACCGAAGCTCTAGAGACGCTTGTGTATAGCATTTTTGATAGCAAAACATTTAAATTTCGGAAGACTGCAGGGCGCTACGTTTGTGCATACATATGTAGATATGTTTAAACCAAATAACCAAACCTGATGACAAACAACGCTTAAGTTGAACTTGAAAATTTTTAATTTGGTAAAGAGGTATACAGCGTAAATGCGATAAAAATAAGTGCGACATGCAAACGAAGAAGAATTGTGTGACATGCAATGTGAGAAAATTAGAGGATGATTGTGGGTATGTGTGCATGTGCCTACGAGCATATATGAATAAACGTTTCGTATTTACATAGCAATGTACAAATATACTAATTAATATTGTATTTTAAAATATGTATGTGTGATAGTATATGTGTATGCGCATATATAAAACCAGTATTTTCGCCACTTATGAAATGAATTTGTAATGGCAAGGCGACACGAACGAAGTGGATGCGATCAACGGTAAAAGATGTTAGAAATATATGTGAGATTTTAATTCGAGTGTAATGCAGCTCAAACGAGACAATATTTTTTTTACTGAACTTCAAACGTAAACTTATTATAGATAGAGTAATTAAAGCTTGTAATCCAACCGGCAAACAATTAACGCAAACAGACGCAACAAAACACTATTGAGGTTATCATTCAGGCCTTGCGACATACTAATGTATTCTCACAAGCTTACTTGTTGACAATTATTATATGCAGCACGTAGATACCGTTACATATTATATATGCACATACATTACATGCATACATTTCTGCCAGTCTGTTTACTCTAATTGTATTGTAATTGTTGGTTACTCATACGCCATGTCTGCACATTTATATGACAATTACAAAATTTGATTGAATGCGAATCTCGCACATGTTTTTTGATATGTAAACCAAGTGGCATTTATTGAAATAGATAATGTCAAGGTTAAGTTTGCAAAAACCGCTATAAACTATGAATTCGATAATTAACGTTACAGCAGTTTTATTGATTCGATGAAGATAATAATTTAATTGCAAGCAATACAGCTGAATGTTATATACCAGTTACCACCGTCTGTAATCAAACTAGACATAGATATTAACATTAGACTCATCATGATTACACTATGCAGCAGAGTCGACTTTTTTCTGCGTATGGGACCAGACCAATTACCGTATCAGTTCAAGAAATTTAGTCATAGGTACAAAAAAAAACAGTTTCTCCGTTTTTATAAGTTAGTATCCGAAATATTTACCTACGAATTTCAACATTAAGTTTATTCGAAAATTATTTTTAATTATAGTTTAGTTACCAAAACGCATTTTTACATCGCGCTTGCTTATATGACAGGTGCCAAAAGGGGTCAAGTCGGATTTTCGAAAAAAAATTTATATTCAAAACACTTTTTTGAAAATTTGATTTTGTTATGACTGTGATTTAGAACCCTTTCCTCTGATATGCGTGCTTAACTTTTTTTTCAAATACAAAAAATTAATGCTCTCCGCAAATCATCACTTTCCGGTACAATGAAAAAATATGATGTTGTTTGTTTAATGACTGTAAGGTTATTGAATATGTTGGGCAGATGTCAAGTCAACCAAACAGAAACAAAAATTAAGGCTCGTTTACGACAGTTGTTCGCTATCAACACATTTGTATCTTAACGCTCACCGCATACGGGTACACCTGGTATATATAATATATTCCGTGTAAAGCTATGAGAAAAAACATTTGGTGAATACGCCTAACTAAGTATAATGTTTTTTCAAACCAAAAATGGATGCCAAATATTTTCATCTGTTCGAAACATTTATATAAAAGGCTGCCTTAAATGGATATCTCATACAAGCAAGGCCTATAGTTGACAATTTGATCTGGCAGTAAGAATAAAATAATCGCATTTCTTTCTTTCAGTGTTTATTAGACATATATTAAGTGTAACAATAACAATAAAAATCTTAGGGAATTTACTAGTTATTACTATTATTATAAGAGCAGGGATAGAACAGGAACAAGAACAATTTTTCACAATTCTCCTAATTGAGTAACGTTTTTAAATGTGTTTACAATTTTTCGTTCAATTACAATGCAACGTTCATAAGACAGCTATAAAAATACCCATAACTTCACCAATTGTTTTTTTTTTTGCGGCTATAAGCACCGTATTATGCATTCAATTATAAAATAAATATTTTAATACCCAACTCTAATATCCTAACTTCTAGTAAGAACTTTTTTCACTCATTTTCTTATTGGTGGCTACCGCAATCATACTTCAACCAGTAAAAAAATGTGTTGATTATTACATGAGGATGTGGACGAATTACAATACAGTTACTTGCTATTAATAAATTATGAGTTATAGAACATTCTTAATTCTTTCTTTTTCGAAGTGGCCATTTACAGGGCTATATACTATATATAAGCTTGCAATTGTCTAATAATTTTGACAAAGCAACTACGTCAGCTTTCTATAACTGCCAACAAAGCAGAATAGTATAATCTAAAAATAGGCAAATTATTTTTATTATTATTTTTTTATTCAATATAACATAAGCCAATAAAATCATTCAAATATGTACATGCATATATATAATTGAAGTAACTGATCTTGCAGTATTGTAATCATAATTATTTCGACTTTGCAGGAATCGACCGCATGGAAGACATTAACATCACATCCCAACTCGCTGGTGCAACTGTTTCCGTCACGTGCGATGCTCGTCGTGCAAGAGGTGGTGCGTTCGCTACGTGTAAGTATTAGAAAACCTAAATGAAAATAAAGAAAAAGGGTGGGGAAATCTTCAAATAATTATTTGTGTGAAAATGCCTATTCGCAATAACCATTACAAATCAACCGCAACCGCATGCAAATGACAAAAAACGAACCCGTTGGAGCCATTAGGCCATTCTAACCGCAACAGTGACCTTCGTCACAGAATAATGATGGCAAAAAAGTGGACACACAACGAATGAGTTGCGAAAAATTCGCTACTAAATTTTCTGCTAAATCATATGTGAATTTCTGTACAAGTACTTTAGGCAATTGTCAAGTAACTCAAGTCGTTTGGTTGCCATTAAATAATATTTTATCAAGCGTAGCTGGTTGATTGGCTGTTGTGACTTGACACAGTTGTCTATTCTGAAAGCACGCTAATCGACAATGAGGTGTGACGGTAGTTAAAATTGACATTTTGAGCATAAGAAATTGAAATTGAGGCGAAACTTCCACATAGTTGTAGGGAATTCATGTCTCTTGTGTAATCAATTGTTGTTCGTAGTGCGAGCGTAGCGTCTTAAAATAATGTGTTTGGTTCTAGTGGGCGGCTAAAATTTGTGATGCAACCTTGTAACGCTTTCGGCTGTCAATGGTGAATGGTGACGTTGATCGATAATTTTTAAGAATTATATAGACGCCTTGAACAGTTCAAATGAATGCAGATTTTGAAAACTTGCTCATCAAATGAAATTTTAAGAAATCTTTGAGGAATATCCTATTACCGGTAGGCTTGAATGAATAGCTTAACCGAAATTCTTGGAATGTTTCTTTATTATCCGCCAACTGAAATCAAAAATCTGGTAGTAACACCTTCGATAAACTGTCACTGTGCCCGAGTTAATCGAGAGATTCTGCAACAAAAAACGTTTGCATATGCCATCAAGTCAGTTTTTACCAATACTATCGCATAGATCCTACCGTGCAATGCACTCAGTTGTTAGTTTTAAAAATCGAGTGTAACTTTTTGACAATTAAGAAATTCTTAAACAGAATGAAAGTCTAGCGAAGTCAAAGATAAGATTCTTGTGAGAGTTAACCAATCTCTCATTTTTTTCATGCGTTTTCATAAGAAGCACATAACACAATTGTACTTTTAATGCGTTTAATTTTGGTTACAGAAATCGGGGATCATTATTCTGTGGGGGTTTTGTAGCCGTTACAACAACAAACATGTCCATAGGCTTAAGTCCACACCAAATGCAATATTTTTAAAATTATATTACCACCTGTAGACTTATAGGATGTAGACTTCGTCCAAAAACTTACGATATGGGACCGCTATAGCATACAACTGCCATATAAACTGTGGGATCGGAACTAAGTTCTTGTATTTACAGAGATATCTTTACGAAATTTAACATGAAATATTGGCCAAGGCAAAGGTACAATCCGAAGAAATTATTCAGATCGGACTACTATAGCAATCAAGGAATATTTTGTATTTGTGAAAGGTATTATAGCTTCGATACAACCGAAGTTAAGCTTTTTTACTTGTTTTGACTGCCGTGGTCTTAGAACTAATGCTCAGTCTGTGGTCACATGCCAACCTACACGGCTTGTCGATCGTTAAACTTGATTGCTATCTATGGCTCGTAAGAACAAGCATGAAAAAACAAAACCTTAAAAACAAATTTATTCAAGAATAAGTTTTAAGGCGCATTGACACCGTTTGCCAAAAATGCTGTTCAAGTTGCAAGTTTAAAATGTCGCTCTAACCACGAGCACTAGACTAGCGTCTGTTGCTTACCACATATTTTCGGCAGTTCGTTGCCTTGTGCTGAATAAGTCAAGAATTTTAAATTCTACACAGCCGCGTTGTAAAGTTTAGCAACCACATTTAATAATTAAATGGTTTTCCAAATTTGATAGCTTAATTGAACTGAGCTTCTGGGAGTATCAAGCTGATTCTATAAATAGTTTAAACAAACTCTGGTCCTTTCACACTTTTGAAGTTGTAAACGGTTGAAATCCTTTTTCGTAAAGTTTTTCGTTACCAATTTAAAAACTATTTTTGGTGATGAACTCATGCCAACTCAGTTATAATGATGAAACTAAAGTATTCAATAAAAATGTTCTGTTCTAAAGTGTATACCTATGGCATCTCAAAAAAAGCCGTCGGGGATAAGTATTGTCGAGGACAAAGTTTCATAAAAATTCAAACACTCTTTGCCCAAAACCTTCACGAATTGCGTTCAAAAATTCGTCAAGGTTATTGTGCCTCTCTTCTGAAATCATGATTTTCGATTAAAACCATTGAAATTCTGTGACACTGTAGTATGGCATATCTGTAGGAATTTCTGCTCACAGTTTGAAATCAAAAATTACCTTTGGTTCAGTTTGTATTTAAAATGGTTATAAAATTAAATAAAAACGTTGACGAGAAAGAATTTTCTTACAACATTTAAAAATTTTCCGCAAGACTGTAATGAAATAGCTTGCCTAAAAGTTCTAGTTGCTGAGAATTTGTGGTTGGCCTTCAAGTCATACATTTAACTCTCATGTTTCCATATTTAAGTCAGTCAAGGTAACAAAAATTTTAAGCCACTAACACCTGTTAGTTTAATGGTTGGTAGAACTTTGTCTAATAGGCACTGTTATAATTGACCTAAAAGGGGCGCCATATTTTATGTTGATATGTAAATAGCGTGTCGCCAAAAAGAGATACAATTGAGCCGCGAACCAAATCTCCAAGTGCGACTTAGTTTTTAAAAGAAATTAGTTCTCTAGTATTATTTGAAAATACGTCTCGGATCATTGAAGAGTATACGTAGAGATACGTCCACGACTCTTATTTCATTATTCCGACTTTGTTTGGATAAGAATCGGTATTCGTTACAAAATCAATCACAGAAGTATTTTCTTATTCCTTAAATCTTGGCTTTAACTGTAGCCGAGTTCCAAACCTCAATTGTACCAAGTGAAATCAGGCGACTTAGATAGTTTAAAAATGTTGGAACCTAAATTTGATTATAACACAAAGCTCAAATACTATGTTTCGCATCAAAATTTGTATTTTATGCAGAAAAAGAGATCGGAACTTTCTGATCAAGCAAAGCTTCACTACAAATTTTACTAAATCCATTCGATGTCTATAACTATTTCAGAAGGACACAAATGTTGTAATCCAATCTTCTTTGGGCAAAATTCGAGGACGCTTTCAGAAGTATAGGTCCGGCGAACGCGGTGGCTACTACAGCTTCAAGGGTATACGCTATGGCGAGGCACCAATAGGAGCCCGGAGGTAAAGTTATTTCTTGAGACTACCGAAAATCTTATGACATTAAACAATTACATGATAAATAATTGCATTACAGATTTCGTGCGGCGGTGCCTGAGAAGCCTTGGTTTGGTGTGCGCGATGCGTCACGTGAGGGCAATAGCTGTCCGCACAAAAATATGATACTAGACACATTCAAAGGCAATGAGGATTGTCTGTTTCTGAATGTTTTCACCACACGATTACCCAGAGAGGATGAGTGAGTGGGCCAAGTGCGATTTTAGTGCAAATTTTATGATTTCATTGAAGGAGTTTTTATATTTTTAGATTTTTATGATATAATATTAATATAATAACTCTATCTGTCTTATTTTTAATCCCTGACACTTTCCGCTGCAGTGAACTACAGTTGCCTGTTATGGTATGGCTGCATGGCGGCGGCTACTCCTTCGGCTCTGGCAACACTTTTCTATATGGCCCCGACTATTTGGTTGCGGAGGATATTGTCTTAGTCACACTCAACTATCGCTTGGGTCCTATAGGCTTTTTAACAGCAGGCCCCGATGCGCCGGGTAATCAGGGCTTGAAGGTAAGCGAAAAACGTTAATTTTCGTAAATAATAATAAAATATAAATGTTCTTCAAAGGATCAAGTGCTTGCCTTGAAATGGGTACGCGACAACATCGCCGCTTTTGGCGGTGATCCAAATCAAGTCACAGTTTTCGGTGAATCCGCTGGTGCCTCGTCCGTGCAAATGCTGCTCCTCTCGCCACTCGCCGAAGGTCTATTCCATCGCGCGATCTCACAAAGCGGTTCAGCGCTGAATCCGTGGTCGATGGCCGATAGTTCGTCGGAACGCGCTTTCCGTTTGGCCGCCAATCTAGGTTATGTGGGTGCCAATGAAACGGATGAGATATTGGAATTTCTACGACGCGTACCCGCTATGAAACTGGTGGAGGCTGCGCCTACGACGCTTACAGTTGAGGACTCACGCAACAATATCGGCTTACCGTTCGTGCCGGTGGTGGAGGGTTATTGGAATACAGAAGGTAGTAGAGAAGTATACTATGAAGACCCCTTCATGACGCAACATCCCAGTGAAATGTACCAACAACACAAATTCCATAGCAATGTGCCGTACATGACGGGCTACAATACACACGAAGCCATGCTTTTCATACGAAGTGAGTAAAAACAAAAAAAATGCGAATGAAATACGCTCAATACTTCCACTGTTTTCTTTTCATTTTCAAAAGGACTACGTAAGAATCCAAAACTGCTGGAGATTATCGAAAATGATTTCTCGCGCATGGTGCCACGTGATCTCAATGTTACCGACGAGCGTGAGCGCGTAACGCGAGATATACGTCAATTCTATTTAGGCAACAAACAAGTGGGCATTGAATCCGTGGACGAAATGATTGCTGTGCGTAACACACCCTTCCCTCAACAACAACTCAAGTAAAATTAGAATTTTTTACAGCTTCTCACGGATCTGATGTTTCTGCAGGGCATACGCAAGACAGCGCGCAATCACGCTAAATACGGCAGCGCGCCTGTTTACATGTACCGTTTCTCGTACGACGGCGCGCTGGGACTCTACAAGCGCATGTTGGGTCTTACGCGTCCCGGCGTGTGTCATGGCGACGAAATGGGTTACTTATTCAAATTTGGCTTCTTCAACTTGAGCTTAGATCCGCGCTCAACCGAGGTGCTCGTGAAGAACCGTATGGTGCGCATGTGGACGAATTTCGCCAAATATGGGTAAGTGGCAGGGGAATTAAACAAAATATGTATGTTATATATATTTAATAAATTTTTTCTATAATATTTTACCACAACTCAGCAATCCAACGCCGCAAAATGTGGAGGATACAATGTTGACCACCAACTGGACGCCCATAAATCCACAGACTGTGATGGAAGATATTAATTACTTAGATATTTCCGTTAATCTGAACATGCGCAGTAATCCGGAGCCAGAGCGACAACAGTTTTGGGATTATATGTATGAGCACTTTAACGGTGCCGCCATGTAGTCACACAAAACTCACATTAATATTTATAAATAACGGTGCACCGCTATTTACATTCATTTCGTAAAAAACAAAAATTCATTCATAATGCCATAAACCATAAGATAATTACGTCACAAAAACAGCATACGTTGAAGTTTTAAGGGGCACCCTAGTGAGACGGCCTAAATAAAAGCGATTTTTGGGAATTAAAAACACAACAATTTCTATCCCAGCTATATGCTATAGTGGTCCGATTTGAACAATTTCTTTGGAGATTGTACAGTTGCTTTGGAGAATAATTAATGCCAAATTTCATGACGACATATCGTCAAATAAAATAGTATTTAATACAAGAATATGATTTAGATCGTTGTTTGTATGGCAGCTATATGCTACAGTGGTCTGATATCGACTGGTACAACACACAAACAGCTTCTTGCGAAGAAAAGGGCGTGTGCAAAATTTCAGATCGGTATCTCAAAAACTGAGGGAAAAAATAGATTTTTTTTAATTTTACAATAGGTGTGCCCTTTAAGTAACTGCATGTGATCCTCAAATCGTAGAAAAATAAATTTATAAAATATCCGTGGTAGTTAAAGTTCAATCATGCATATACAACACACCACTTTCGCCACTAATTTCAAATATCTAACTAAACTGGAACGTTCACCTGCGCTTCATTGCATCGTAAAAACATTAATTTAATTCACTATTAGTTTAAAGTTAGCATTAATATTGATAGTTTAGCAATTAAGTACGATTTCACGACATTACAAGATTTCTTATGGCCAGTGCATTTACAATATTTATGTCTGTATGTTTATTCGAACACACATACTTACATATAGATACAAGTTTTTGTAGTTTACAACTGTTTTGTTTCATTTGTATATAGTCAAATTTCATTAACTGTTGCAGCGCTTTAAGTTATCCTTTTAAACTTTTAGTTTTTAAAAGTGTAAATTTTGTTAAAAATAAAATGGCAATTACATTTTTTATACATTAAAATAAAATTAAATAAAAACCGTATATTTTTACATTAATTTTTTGTCTTTATTTGAAAGTGTTGTTGGCACTTTCGTGTGAAACAGATACATTTGTAATAAAAATATGCTTCTATCTAAAGTTATTTCAGCTTTCGAGAGAGTCTTGAGACGAGATTTCACCTTTTCCAGTATCTCTCTCTCGGGCGGCGTTAAAGTTTCGAGAATCTGCGCAAAGAAAATAATACAAAATGTTTAGTAATTATATACATTAATACTTATTATAAACAGTACATACCTCGTCAATGTATTCGGCAGATTCACCACGCTCCTTCATTGTTGCAACAATGCTGTCTAACTTTTGTGATTTCTCAATCAAACGTTTATGTTCCGACTTTTCGAAATTTGAGCGCTCAATTGTGTTATATAAAGCTTTATAGCACATATTTAGTACCATGCGTACGCTCTGGAAAAATTAGAAAGTTAAATTTAAAAAATTATAAAATAAGTAAAATCCAAACTAGAAAGTATGTTAAGCAGTTTCTTTAAACATTTTAGATATATTCAATATTTCGAAAATTGTAAGTCATTAAGCGCATATCTATACACGATATGTCTCTCCATAGTGTAAAATTTAAATCACAACTAAAATTACCTGTCTGGACTTGAAATGGAACAAGAAGAAGGCTTTAGCAGGTCCCGTTCCGCCCCCGCCCGCTTTTCTAATAGTTTTTATTTGTATAAATTGATCTTGAAATAAGTAGTACGACAATAGTTTCGCTTCACGCGCCGGTATCATTGCCTCTTTTTGCAATTCTTCTTGCTCGATAAATTTCTTCATGTAAATAATGCGAAAAATACGCGACGCCTTGGATCCATAACGTTCGGTTATTACATGCCCAAACCAAGCCAACGTTAATTCTTCAAAAGCACGATTTAAATCAACGACATATTGACCACCGCCCATATCGCCGACCTTGCGTATGAAGCCCAGCGGATCATCAGCTAAACAAGGATGCAATTAAAAGCATTATATATAAACATCTATTATATAATTATCACTACAAACCTATAAGCGTGACGTATTGATCCAAATGTTTTATCAAATCCAGATTGTTGGATTTTTTTTCAATCAATTGCTTGATTTCAGCTAAAGTGAATGGATTCGAGCATTCCTGTAACATAAATAAAATTAAATACATTTTTATAAATAATAATATTTCAGTCACCTTTTGCCAGGGATCTGTACGCTCATACATTTGTTTCAATATACATTTAAAGCATTCGCCAGTGCTGGCACCAAGTTTCTTCTCTATCGCACCAATCATTACCGCATCCCGAAAATCTTGATGGAAACGACTGAAATTTAAGTGCCAAAAAATACCTGCATCAGCAGCTTTTTCCACATTTTCTTTGCCAGCTTGCACTTGTGCTATGAAATGTAGATTTATATCTGGCGGCACAAAATATTGATAAGCATCAATTTGAAATTTAGGTATCGTGTCCTCTTCGCCAGTTATCAGCTGCGGTAAACGTATTAAATAATTATCGCTTACCATAGTCAAGAAATTGTCACGATAGGTATCGACTTTTTCCTTGACTTCTGAGCTGGCTATACATTTGAGCAGCACATTGGTAGCGGTTTGCGGACCACCATGCAGTAGCTCCTCTGCAATAGCAGCACCAACTGCACCATACTTTGTATGAATCAATTGCACATATCTGTGTGTATAGGAAAATCATCAATATATTTTAAGAAAATTAATAACAATATTCTATACTAACCCTGGATAACGTAGTATGTTGAAAATTTCTTCACGTTTCAGCGAGTACTCCGCCAAAAAAGGATTTGACTCGCATGGTATAAACACAACCAGTTGATATTTAATTAGCACAGCCAATGCAAGGGATACCTAAAATTTAATAATTATACATATTTATTGCTTACTATAACTTAAAAAAAGAAATCTTTATCATTCTTGCTAAAGCCATAGTTTACGTTACCTCTTTACGGGATAGTTTTGTTGTTTTTAAGATAGCCGGCAATGTGCGCGAGACCGCACAGAATAAACAATCCGCAACGCTTTGCACTGTCTCGCCGAAGACTTGCTTCACCACCACTGAACAGAGATTAGCATATTCTATAGACATTTTGGAAGCAGGAATTACAGGTTTTCACATTTAATACAAATATTAATTTATTAATCACTTTGTTTAAAATTATTACTTGTGTCTATCAAATTACGTGCAACAAATATTTTACACTCAGCTGTCAGCTGTGTGACCAACTGTTGGATGTTGCCATACTATTCTAAATGACATTAATAGGGAATAAAGTAAGACATTTTACCGTTTACGGTATTGTACCTAATTGCGTAAATAGCAACGAAGAATGTATAAATATTGCGTAGTATTGACTAGGTACTTAATATAGATCATTAATTATATGTGAAAGCTTCGAATAGTAGGAAAATCAACAAAAAGTGATTACTTTGTTGTTCAAGCAATTAATCTGTTAAAAATCGATTTGTGGATATCAATCGATATTAATTATTTTTCTTTTCAATTCAATATATTCTAAAAGGTAAACCTAATATCAATATATACAAAAAAAATTACTACAGATTATTAATTTGGCCGAAATGTGGCCCAAGTCCGATATGTGAGACTGTATATACATCGAGAGCGTCAGTACTAACAGACATTTTTCGTACAGGGTTATTTCAATACATATAGGACGTCAGGTGGAATAGAAAATTGCGCCCTTTTATAATAAAAAGGAAGATATTGACAAACGGGAAGATAATTAATTTCAATTTGTCATGCAAATTCGTAAGAAGCAATGTTCTTCGAGTGAAAATTGAAAAAGTGAAGATTTATTGTAGTTTCTGTTTAATATTTTTGTGTTAAATGAATTTATAAAAGAATGGAAAAGTATTGCAAAGATTTATTTAAAAAATATGTCAAATTCAAAGCGGCGCGAAATTGAAAAAAGGATGTATATAGTATATTTAGAGGTATTCCAATATGTCATCGTATTCCTGAATGGTTTCTCACTGGGTAAGTGCGAAAGATAAAGACTGTTGAATTTTTGCTATAATTTAATTACCGATAATGATTATTGCATTATAAGTAAATTGATGCAAGCGAATTTAATATTCTATACGTGAAACTATAGGTGTGGAAGACAATTTATTAAGATCGAAAAGACAACATTAGGAACCATCAATAAATTTGAAGATTGTTTTTATGAAATATATATATTCTTTCTAAGTGAAATTTTGAATAACTTTATCAATGTTTTGTATGGATATACATACATATATGGAAATGGTTAATTCCACAATTTTTAAACCTCCTTATATTGGCTAGTTAATCTGTTTTTCTCATTATATGGTTTGGGATCAACCATATATACAAAATAATCTGTATGTAGAGCTTCTGAAAAGCAGGCAATATACAGATATATTAATGAAATTGCTTGCTAAAACGATTGTGTGGCTACATGGAATATGGATTCATTGATGCATTTACTAATAAGTATACGAATATACATATGTACATAGTTTGGCTGAAAGTATGTTGCTAGTGCAGTTGCATTAAGAGGTTGTTGTTGTTTTGAAGCAGAAAATAGTTTTTTGCAGAATTTTGAGAATTGCTGCGGGTTGACACACTCTGATGGGATAAAAATCGGTTCTGTTTTTCTTACGCTTACCCGACTGTTGTCGGGACAATGCTTCAAAAAGGCATGCAAAGTGGTTTTAGGTGCTTTAAAAGCTTTGTACACATGTATGTATGTATGTACATACACACATACCTAGGAATATGTATATAGTGCAAACCTAAAGTAGTAAAGTATCTATTCGCTTAAAATTACTTTCATGAATAAAGAAAAAATAATATAATTATAAATACCTAGATGCTTATTATGCGAATCATTCATAACAATTGTTAATTATCACATACAACAGGGCGTATAAATAATAATCTTTAATGAACCATTAAACTTCTGAACAAATAAATAAATAATAAACTTGAATAAGCACATATGTATGTATGTACATACATACAAATATGCACTCTAAATTCCAATTAAAAACATTTTGGAGCTCATGCATAAAGATTGATGTCTGTCCGAGCTTTTATAGAATCAATGTCGGTAGCAAAAGCATATCTTACCACGTGGCCAAGATAAGCCACGCTGTGGCTAAGTAGAATTAATCAATTATATAAAAAAATGTTGTTTATTCAATTAAAATTGAATTGAGATTATTACTGTTAATATCTATGTCAATTAAAAACATACTTAGGTATTATAACAATTAACCTACAGTTAAAGCTAAAACAAATCTCTTAAACACGTGTACGCGTCCTACGGGGTTAAAGTCACCATGAATTATTTTCGGTTGACTCAACACGGTATTAGACACACTTTTTATATTTAATATATCTGCGGGATCACGGTGTGTAAATATTGTATTGATTTACCACCTCAAATGCGCAGAAAAACAAATTATTTAATTACACTTGCTATTCGAAGCAAATATTTATTTTAAATTATGCTTTTACATATACATATATATATACATAGGTATATGCGAGCAAAAATTCAGATAAGTATAGTAATAAATGCCACACTCTAAAAGTAGTGACTTATGGAAATGCTTTAGTCTCGTTTGATTGCCAAAACTGAAATGAAAGATAGTTTTGCTTGTTGGCAACTGGTAACCGCTGGTCACTTACGCTGTTGAGCTGAAATATTTGTGAATCCAAAAGCAAGAAGCAAAACCGAATAAAGATTGTGCGCACTAAATGCTACCCTTTCCAGTGGCAGAACCACATCGAGCGCTCTTCTATACCGAAAACCCGCTTGAGCGCGCTTGTGGGTGAAGGCTGCAGAGAGCACATGGTCGTGATTGTAAAAAATGCCACTTCCAGCGTGAGCAAGTTGAGCAGATAGAGCCGCATAGAGCTGACGATGCTTGCATCAACGAAGCTTTGGTATTTAACGCTCAGAGTTTACGAAATTTTTTACGCTTAGGTTGGCGGTTTCTATTTACTTGCTGCTAAACGCTCAGCGACGTTGAAGATCTTTTGAAAATTTTGTATACTTTGGGTCTATTAAATAGGTACACATTATGCTCCCCACATATCTGTTAAGAATTTGGAAATCAGCTTACTGGTTTTTTGATCGTAAGATATTGTGTAAATGAAATGCTTGCTGTTTTGGAATTTCATATGAAGAAATTACTGCAAACATACCCACAAAACACACATAGGTAGAGCATGTACATACATACATATACACGAATGTTGTTTAAGTAAAATATACTTACATATGTATGTATATCTACTAATGTGGCAATTCGAAGTAAAAGTCTCAAGACGTGGCTGAAAGAAAAACATTTTCCATAGCACACTCATAAATTTGTTAGTATGTATGTATATAAGTAAATATGTAGTTACATACATATGTATGTATTTAAATGTATTCTTCGAATTCTAGGTAAAGCCAAACTGTACTTATGCATATACTCGTAGAAATGTTTTAATGCGTTCACATACTATTTCGATGTCGCTGTCAAGGTGGTAAATGAAAGGTCATATCTTTAAAAATGAAATAAAACAGTTCATGTGCCCTGCTAGAAAAAATACGACTTTTGTTATAGTAGAAAAAGAAAAACGTTAACTTCAGCTCCACCATAGCTATAATACTTTGATCGGTCAGTTTAAACTGCAGCTAAATGCTATACTGGTTCGATCTGAACAATTGTTTGAAGATTGTAGCGTTGTCCTAAGCAATAATCCACGCCAAATTTCGTAAAGATGTCTTGTCAAATAGAAAAGTTTTCCATACAAAGATTTGATTTTGATCGATCAATTTGTATGTCAGCTATATGCACCAATATCTGCGGTTCCAAACAATGGAACAGCTTCTTAAAGAAAAAAGGACTGTAAAATTGTAGATGATATCTCAAAGACGAACATGGCTAAATCGACTCAGTTCGTCACGCTGGTCAGTTATATAAAGTAGGGTTTCCGACGTTTCCTTCTGGGTGTTACAAACATTATATACCCTCTAAACGCATTCTACTTCTCAAGTTAAAGTATACCCATTTAATTGTTTTAGCTCCCTTTGGAGATTTCTTCATGTCGAGGCGCGGGATAAGACGCAATTACGTGGACCTTCCGATTACGTGGACCTGAAGGTTCTGAGAGCGCACAAACTAAAGGTCATATTTGCAGATTGGATGTATAAATTATGAAAGTACTATATTTTATATAATAACATAATAACATTTTCTGGTTTTTTAATTACTTTGGAACAATTCGTTCAACACGTTCCATTGACATCCTTAGAAAGCCAGCTATCGCGATCAACGTTATCTTATCGTCATCTAAAACAATTTTGTGGATTTTTTTTATTATTTTGTTCAGTATTTAGTCAATAAGTTTGACTGATGCAAGTTTGATCGGATAACACTCATGAAGGCATTTTGTTTTTTTTTTTCATTAGCAGCATTTTTCTTCACCTAAAAAGAGTATTTCTTTAGCATACGAAATTCATTTTTATTCACTCTTTTTCAATATACCAAAGCTATATTTCACAAAACAATTATCTGACTGCTGAAAAAGTAATGCACGTGCTATATGAATGTTAGATTTAACTAGCAAAAAGTTAGTGCTCGTTAGTTAGTCGATAAACATATGTATGTATATGCTATAAAATAAATCTGAAGAACGCAGATTCTTATAATTGGTATGGACTTTGAAGCTGTTATGAAGCCATATTGATAATATTTATATAGACAACAGCTCTACTTCATATATCAGAGGCATTTTTGTTTGTGTCATGTTTTGATTTGATACCTTCACTCGTGCTTCAGTTATTAAAATTAGCTGACGAGTTTCACAAGGGCGGCAAGAGGGAAATGATTGTAGTTATTGTTAATTTTCTTCCAACGGTACAAAAATGACTTAGACCCCTATTACTTATCTATAATAGCGCGAATATAGCTGCCGCTCGACTACAGAATAGCAGAATGTACATTACGAGTGGAAATAGACTACCTATTTCAAGCGATTGAGTCGTCTGTCACCATCTTTATTTCTCTCTATTTAGAAATGTTAAAATCAGGAAATCAGGAACTGATCTTTAGCAGTTGCTTACACTATTTCTCGAATTTTTCACTTTGGTTTCTTTGAAAATCAATAAGAAAAATGTGTATACTTAATTTTTTTTTTAATTACAAATATTTCTAACTGAATAATTTACTGAAATTGCGCTTCAATAAATAGTTGGCTTCTTTTTTAGGAATTTACATTGTCTATTGACTCACTAATATGATTAATTAATATCTGTATTAATTAAGGCCAGACGCAGCGTACTTTTAAACGAAATGTAAACTCAGGGTTGTTATCTGCCTCTTCAAGTGCACTGATTTCTTCCGCAAAGTAAAATTTTGTTATAGTCTCCAACTCAAGCATAACGGCAACTATAATACACTAGCCTACCACAAAATTGCTGTTAATTAAGGCTATTGCCACTGTATCATGTGAAGATTCATAAATTTTTTTTCATATAAGTAATCATTTATTCACCGAACTAATGAAACACTTATCAAGTTTAAACCTCAAGCTAATGAAAAAAATTGTTTCAGCTAATTTTGTTGCTAAATCGTGCGTTGTCTTTTTGATCGTTTTTATTTTAAGCGCATCGCGACGAGAAATTCGTCTTGGGGCAAAATATTGTTTTCCCCCCGCTTTATGACATAAAGCATAGTTTAAGCGAAAAAAAAAATCGATTTTCACAACTATTTTAGAATTAGATATTTTTTATACATATATGGTAGTTTTTTATTTTAAAATGTCATCAGCAATAATTTATTTATATTTAAGAAATTTAATCTTCATAGATTTTCACAGCTGTATATGTATATGCGCTATAATATATATATATATTTAAATGATCAGCTTGACGAGCTGAATCGATTTTTTCATGTCCGTCTATTTGTCTGTATATACGCGAACTAGTCTATAAATTTTGAGGTATCGATCTGAAATTTGTCACACATCCTTTTCTCCCCAAGAAACTGCTCATTTGTCGGAAGCGCCGATATCGGACCGCTATTACAAACAGCTGTCATACAAACTGAACGATTGGCATAAAGTGATTGTATGGAAAAGTTTTTTCATTTGACAATATATCTTCACCAAATTTGAACACTATAGCATATAGCGTTCATACAAACTGAACGATCGGAATCAAGTGCTTGTATGGAAATCTCTCATATTGTCCTTACGCAATTTGAATAGATTATTTTCTTAGACAACGCTACAATATCTGAATTTTTTAGATCGGATTACTATATTATATAGCTTTCATACAAACTGAACAATCAAAATCAAGTTCTTGTATGGAATCCATCTTCGGTGCAAGCGAAGTTAACGTTTTTTGTTGTTTTTCCTATAATTTTTGTTATTTTATTTTACCTTTCTAATTAGTTTCAACTACTATGATTTTTTTCACTTTTTATCATTTTCAAAGGTTTCGGACCTTTTTTAATACATTTATATTTTCGAAAATTTAAAAAATCGAATCATTAAAGATTTTACAACCACAATATTTTTTGAATTTCATAAGTTCAAAATAATAATAAAGCAATATTTTTGCTTACTCTACACTTGCCAAAATTACTGTAAACTACAGCCCATATGATGGCTATAAATTTGATTTTCAACGGTAATTTTGCAAGGCTCGTAAATTCATCAGTTAAACATAACCGGACACTTTTCTCGACATAAACACGTAATTATACACATTAGAGCCAATTATGCAAATATGTATGTATTGTCTGTATGTGTGTTTGTATTTGAATGAGTATGTGTGCACATTTACAAAAGTAACGTATTAATTTTGCTCGAATTTCGCATTTCAGCGACTGCTTGCATATATGTATGTACGTATTTCTGTATGTGTGCATATGTATGCATTTATGCATGTTTATGTGTGCGCAGCGCAGTTGAATTGAACGTTTTCACGCGCATTTTCGTTCACGAAGGTTAACTTCTTGTTGCTTTTCGCTTTGAAGTATTGCGAAATTTACAGCAATTACACACAACATTCTTAGCGTTAGCACTGAAATAAAGTAAACTGCAAAAACACAAACAATTTATAACAAACTAAATACAAAATATATAAATTTAATATACCACAGCAATTTAATTTGTGTGGCCAACCGCTTCTGGTTAATTAGATTGAAAAGATTGTGTGGTCTAGTATGTTCGAAATTTTCGCTGATTGTTTATTCGAAAACTGTTGGTCATTATTTAGTTATGCAATTACTCAGCTCACATGCTTGCTTATATTTATGTACATATACAATATATGTATGTATGTATGTATGTTTATAGTCTATAATTATGCTTTTTTTCAAGTACTCGTATAACAATTATTTTTATAAATTTTGTTTACAATAATCATAATGTATAATCGTGTATGATACTTTTTTTGGATTGTTGTTGGCTTAATTAATTAATTATTAATGGAATATGATAGTGTGCGTGATGTATGACAGTTATTGGCATATATACTAGCATCCTAGAAACGAAATATTATATATATGTATGTATAGCAATAAGTGACATTTTTAAGGTCCAAGTAACAACACAGTTTATTAATTGTTGTTTTTGTTTTTAGATTATGCATGAAGTACATGTCTGTTAATGTTAGGTCTAGCAAATATAAATCCATAATTTTTGCAGTAAATAAATTGAAATAAGCATCGTTTCGTTCGACAACTTGTTGGCATGTTGAAGGTAATCTCATAGAAACCCTGTTGTTGTTGTTGTTGTTGTTGTTGTAGCGGCAGAATTCTACCGAGTTGACAGTCCTTGGCCGGAATAAATCTGGGTCCGTTCCGGTTACGTAGACCCGACTGTCGTGGGAACGGCATAGAAACCTTCGTTCCTATTGGCAAAAAATCGATTTTCACAAGCTGCTCCTGAAGCGAATTTTGCACAAGCAAAGTCATTTGCCGGAGACAGGAACAGGTAGTAATCACTTGATGCTAGGTTCAAACTATGAAGTAGATGCATAAAATTATCCCAACCCAGCTCCTGGAGCTTTTGGCGAGTCATTATCGATGTGTGGGGCCTAGCATTGCCGTGATGTCACATAACTCCTCTCCTATTGGACAAAGCTGGTCCCTTCTGGACGATTGCTTACGTTAGACGGTCCAATTGCTGACAGTATAGGTTTGAATTAAGAGTTTAGTCGTGCGGGAGTAGTTTATAGTAGATGATTCCCTGCCAATCGCACCAAACACATAGCAAACCCTTCCTGACAGTCATTACTGGCTAGGCCACCATTTGCGCCGGCTTACAACGATTCGACCACGACCGTAACCCATTTTTCATCACCAGTAACCATCCGCTTTTGAAATGGATGGATCGATTTTATTGTGATTCAACAGCGATTCGCAGATGAAAATTTGGTCCTCTTTTGCGTTAACTCGTGGACCTTAGACATAGAACGACCTTCTTTTTAAATCCATCGTTATATAAATATTAACAAACGATTTTTTTACAGATTACTAAAGCTATCTATTGCAAAAATAATGGATTTATTTTTACAAGACCCAACACATTTCATATCAAATAATTAATTAAAATAATAATAATAATAATAATAATAACGCCAGCAATAATTGAGAAAATGGAAACCTTAATAAGGAAAAAATCACATTAAATTTATTTTTGAAATTTACAAAAGTCTTTAAATTATGAAAAAGTGTATTTTTTCTATAAATACTCATGATGACAAAACAAATTTAATTTTAATTACAAAAATGTGATGCGCCCGATTTATAAATTAAAAATAAATCTATGTATATATATTGTAAATAGAGTTATCAAAAAAAATTTTTTTTTATAACGTAACATCAGTCCCTTTGCAAAGCTTCGAAAATTTACGTCCAAGAGCTTTACTAAACTCAGAGCATGTGTAGCACAAGTGAGACACTAAAGTGTGTAGAAGCACAACCGCTACATTCCAGCTTATATATTCTTCGGAATTACTGAGATAGGTTAGACTGCAAACGCAGCATTATAGACACATCCTTTGCACCTTATGTTTATCTACAATTATGAAATGTCGCTTTCTCGCTCTCACACAAATGCGCTTTCACTTTCTTTGTCGCACTCTGCTCCTTACTATTGCTTTAGACTCGCTTCGCGGACTCCTCTGACGGCGGTCGCACCCAACCACCGTAGCGTCGCTCCATTTCACGCGCTACCGCCAAGCAGAGATGATCCTGTCCCGGATTCGCCACCACTTGTATGCCCATTGGCAGATTACGTCGATCCAAACCGATCATACAGTTGGTGACGGGCAAGCCCAGCGTATTGAATATTGCCATATACATGGGCTCCAACAGCTTGTGGTAGATTTGATAATGCTGATGCGCCGTATTCGGAAATGTTGGATAGAGAAAGACGCCATCGTTGCCGAGCAGCTCTTTGAATTCAGTCTTGAGCGCCTCAATGATAGTGGCCAAGTGCTTGTGGCGTGAATTCGGTATGATTTTCATGAAATTTTGCAAATGTCCGAATATCACCGACGGCAATATGCTATCCGAACAGCCGAAAAAGTATTTAACTGTTTCGGTGCATACGGTTTTAGGGCGTTCGCCTTCTTCTGTTTTGTAATAGATGGTTTCAATATTCTTCATGGTCAGCATGGCGGATAGTGAAATATCTAGTGACAGTTTCATTTTTCTAATATTGACACGTTTTGCATTGAAATCGGTGGCCACGCGATTGATGGCGGCATGCAGATCCCGACTCAGCGGACGCATCATGCCCGATGGACCATCGTTATCCATAAAAAAGAAACGTATGGTTTGTGGACTAAGTTCACGTTCAAGTGTCAGCTTAGGTCCAGTAGGATCCAACATACATTTGAGCAATAATGGTAGATCCTTAGCGTAACGTGTCATCGGCGCAATGGTAAAGAAATCACCCCATTTGGGGTAATCGCTAGTCGGATGGTGACCCTTAAATGAAACTGAGTATGGTGTTGGTTTGTGTCCCCAAATACCGCTGAACATGGCAGGCAGACGTGACGAACCACCAATGTCAGAAGTGAGCCCCAACAGCGAAGCACCACTCGCCAACAAAGCAGCCTCACCACCCGAAGAGCCACCGGGTGTGCGCTTCAAATCGTACGGGTTCTTCGTTTGACCCGTCACATTGTTATAGGTCTCCCATAGCAAACACAATTCCGGTGTGTTCGATACCAGCATTATTATGCCTCCACAACGTTTGATCTGCTCCACCACAGGCGCATCGGATTTAGCAATTTGTGGTGTTTTGAAAACGCGTCCCGCCTGATTGGTTAAACCCTTGACAGCGATACTCTCCTTAACCGTTACCGGTATGCCCAACAGTGGTGTATGTTCCTCCATCTCCTCGATGGTGTTGATGCCAGACGCGATAAGGCGATCAGTTTCCCGTGCCTCCTCGAGCGCCTCTTCGAAGCGATCCTGCACAATCGCATTAATCAACGGATTCACCTGATTACACCGCTCGATGTACGCCTCGACCACCTCTTCGCTTTTGATCTGCGGAAGAGAAATAAATGAGAATATAATTTATTGCCTTTATTTTTAGTACTTAAATGGATGGTATGAGTAATGTGTCGTTAAACTAATAAACGAGTTAAATTTAAGGCAACCTCTGCGGTCGCACCACAAAAACAAAATTCAACAGTAAAAAGCAATCTCAATTGAAAGAAAGTAAGATATTTGCAAGCTAACAAGACGTACGATCAGATGGGCGCAATGAATGAGTAATGCGTCGCTGAGACTTTCATTGAACAAGATTTCACATTAGGGCGTGCCCTATTTGTAAACTTGATTTTTCTTCTTAACATCTACAAAATTTTTTAAGTGCTTAAAATATGTCAGAACAGATATTAAAAGCTTCTAGGACGATGCATTTTATGTTTAAGCTGTGTCAATTAGTAGCATAGTTTATTTATTTTGATCGCCTTATAAAGCTTTAGAGATCGAATTTTTTTTCGTAAATAGTGCATTCAGTTTGTTATTTTTAGATTAGGAAGCTTATAAATTGCTGTAGTACCTTGCCTTTCGATGTTATGACAGCTCGAAAGAGTGAATTGACCATAACAAACCGTAACTCCTTAAAAATCACTTACTTTTATGAGTATTTGCAGTTTCGATAACAAGAAAATTAGCACTCTGTTCAGCTAAGAACATCATCTATTTGAATTTTGTATGCTAATTTCTCACAAAGATGAGAGGCAATATCTGAGAAATTATTTAAAACGCGCTCTTATTGGAAGGTGGAACACCAAAACAAAAACGTCGTTCGCAATTTCGTTTTCATTATAGTTATTTTCAAAACAGTTTTTTTATTAAATAATTTCTCTCACATATTTCTTTGAACTATTTATTTCATTTGCCTGACATTTTTAATCAGACAAACGCTTTTAATTTAAAAGTAAACAATTTTTCATCTTTGCATGGACAATCCTCCACTATTTTATTGATAATTAAGCGTTAATTGACAATAAGTAAATTATATTGTGATTAAGAACGCCTTAACGGATAATATCCACTTTTGAATTTCAAAAGATCGATTATGTAACATATGTATATCGAACGTATGTATATATAATTGAGAATATTCTCGGAATTCGAAGTTGATCCGCAAAATAATTTCGAATATATGAGCGATTTTATAAATATTTTTTAATTTAGTGTAATCGACTCTATACTTTTTAGCGCATTTTTCTCGAAACTCCTATTTAAAATCGATGAGGAAAATTTCTCCGAAACGGTAAGGTCGACCGACTACTCTCATGACTACGGGATCAAACATTTTCAAAATGAATCGCAGATTATTAAAATATATTAAATTCTGTAAATGTACATTTTTATACTCGCGCAACTTGTTGATACAGAGTATAATAGTTTTTTCACCCATCGGTTTTTTGTAACACCTAAAACTAATCTAGTTAGATATAGGGTTATGTATATATAAATGATCAGGATGAAGAGACGAGCTTATATCCGGGTCCGTCCGTCTGTGCAAGCTGTAACTTGAAAAATTGAGATATCTTTATGAAACTTGGTACGCATGTTTCTTGCTATTGTAAGACTGCCACGCCCACAAAACGCCTTTATTCAAAAACAAATAACTTAGCTCCACAAGAAGATAGAAGACTTTTATTATTTATATTTTGTTATCACATTAAGGAGGGGCATCTGCAGTTAAAAAATTTTTATTAAGTAAAAAATGGTCCCGCCCCCTAATAGGTTTAATGCGCATATCTCCTAAACTACTAAAGCTATAATAACAAAAAACACTTGGAGCGTGAATAATACGTTTAAAGTATGCCAACTTGTGACCAAAAATTGTGTAAATCGAACCAAAACTGTTCAAGCCCAAATGTACTGAATATGTGGACCCCAGTGCCCATAGTTGACTTTTTACCTAAAATATTGATCAACATAGAACAAGGCGGCAAGATCCACAAAGAAATCTAAAACGAGTATACCATTTGACTGTGCGAGAGTATAAAATATTCGGTGACATGCGAACTTAGCCCTTCCTTACTTCTTATTTTAATTATTAAATAAAATAACCCTTAAAAAACTCAATTACAACGTGTTTTGCTAAAAACTTTTTAGTTGTCATATGGTGCTTACAAAATACTCGTATTTAGATGTTGTTTTTAACACAAAATAATCAAGCCAATCTAATCTATAAATAAATCAGTGTCTTTCTGATAAGAATGTTTTATTTCATTTTCCTGACAAAGGTAGTATTTATTAAGAATTAAACGTTAATTGAAAATTAGTAAATTTTGAATGTAAAAAGTTTAAAAACAGGTCGATCCCATAAATAAATCACAAATTTTTTGATAAGGCATTTTTATTTTGTTTCCTTATTGAACAAACACACTTGCTCGCTCAGTGAATCAATATCACAGGCTTGTATAGTAAAATGCTCGCTAATTTATTAATATTCAAGTGCTAATTGACAATTATCAAATTACATTACAGTGTTTAAATTGTTGAAAATTTCTTAATTTTCAATTAAACTGTCTGTTTGAACAGAATGAAGATAAAATATTTCAAATAAATCTTAAACTGTCAATAAATAATTACACTGGTTTACATTAGTTTTGTTGTCCTAGATATAAGATCGATCGTTTGTATATATTTGTGCCCAGAGTTCATGAAACTCTAGTTTCATGCTCTAGGTTATTTTTAAATCTTTATATAAATTATACTTTACAAAAATCAGAAAACATGAGATAAAATAACTGAAATCTTCATCAGTTTGGTTTTGAAAAATAAAAAGGCATCGAAGAAAACGGAGAGCCAAATGTCGAAAACATATGGTATATTTCAACAAAATGCCTTCATCAACATTGATATCTTTTTTCCATCACTTTTAAATCCGAGTTGAACCGCTCGGCCTGTTACTGTTTATAAATTCCATAATTATCCGAAAAATTATGCAGATTATTACGGTAAGAGGTTAACTTGATAACAAGACACCTAGAGTCTACAAGTTTGTCAGCATATTTTGCGTAATTTCTTCATAATTTGGTACTTTATGGTTACCTAAGAAATTTTTGACTATCTCAAACCTTTTCCACGATTGACTTTCCAGAACTGTCATAACTTTGATAAAATCAGTATTTTTCATTAATTGACATTAAATATTCCACCTTTCAACTCTTCCTTACTAAGTTCGAATTTTTTTTACAAATTTCACTAAAGCGATGGTTTAAATCACTGAGTCACTTTGAGCAAAATACTTCGGTTTCACCCTCTTATTCACATTACGCTGCACCGATATCTGGGTATTCGGCGACATCACTGTTTTTGAGTAGTCCATGCAAATTATCTTTGAAACGAAAGCGACGTTTTCATTGAGTAAAATGAAGCATTTTGTAGACTGTAATTCTAGAATCTTTCGTATAATTTTTTGCATAACTTCGGTAAGGAGCCTGAGAGTAAGAATCACGTTTATATGCGCAAAACCCTAAGCATGGCTGGAAAACTAAATTTTTATTACTAACAAGTCGATATTATTATATTAGATTCGCTATTATCTTCAAAATAAGCAAATTCAATATTTTCTTGAATAAGGCCAAGATAATCCTCCGACATCAAAAATCGTTTAATGATTTCGTTAACGCCAAACGCATGACTTACAGATTTCCGTCCGTGATGAAATACAAATCTATCATCCAATATTTTGGCAGAATTTTTCAATACCGAATACTTTAATAACCGCTCCAGTTATTTCTGAAGAAGACGTCCTACTAAGTTTAAATAAGTTAAAACCATTCCTTAGTTACGGCCCAGACCCTCATGCTTCCTAAAAATAGTGCCAAATATATTTACTTGCCTTTGACAAGGGTATTTAATTCCTGTCTTAAGCACGTTATATTTCCTTTTATATGGAAACAGTCATTTATAATCCCTTTGCATAAAAGTGGATTTAGGTCCAAGATTGAAAACTATAGAAGTATTGTAAGACTATCAGTAATACCTAAACTTTTTGAAGCTATCATCGCAGACCATATAACTTTTTCGATTTCTCCGTTAATTTCCTTATCTCAGCGTGGATTTCGTAAAGGGAAATTGACTCTAACAAACTTGCTTGAATTTGTAAACCATGTACCATTGGATTTTAGAAAACATAAGCATACGGATGCTATATACACAGACTTTTGCAAAACTTTCGATAAAGCAAATCTCTCGACTCTCATACATAAACTTGATCTTCTGGGCTTTCATAAAACACCATAGTCGAAAGTAAGTTTTTAACTATGTTGATTTGGGAGTTAATATGGACCCTAAGCTTAATTTGAATATTCATATTGATATTAAAGCAAAAGCTGTCCTCAGATTTGTTAAACGTTGAATTTAGAAATCCGTAACACTAACTAAAACACTTTTTGTATGGAACCCTAGCTACCAAACTGTTGTATGGAACCCTAGCTACCAAATCCATTCTGAGAAGTAAGAGTCTGTTCAAAAACAATTTTTACTTTTCGCCTTAGGCCATTTTCGATGGGGTTCTAGCGTAAGTCTACCTCCATACACTAGTCATTTAAAACTTATAAATCTACTTACACTTTCTAATCGTAGGGAAACGCTTGGCACAATATTCTTAATGAAAATCTTAAATGGAACAGTTTGCAAGTATTTTCTCCTGTCTGATATTAAATTTAATTTGCTTCGCTTTTCGAGGCAGTTTAGACCTTTACTGTTAAAATCCTGTAGATCGAATGACTATAACTCTCTTGCCTTTTCTGACTCGGCTAATTCCGCACGTATGCGGATTGCGCCTCTCGCGTCGGTTGGGCGGGAAGAGGGTAACCGTTGGGTTATTATTATTATATCCAGGACAACAAAAACAAATTGTTGTTTTTGTAGAGCTGTATTATCTTGCTGATAAAAAGATACAACAAAACGGAAAAGGAAAAACATAAAATTAAAAAATATTATAAAAAAACGACCACCCTAATGTATATTAAGAATTTATTCACACAATTTAAATCTGCCTTTAATTG